TTCATGTTGACAAATAGATATTTGTAGTAGTATCTTATAGAGGATCTTACTCAGTAGGTGGTTTCATTACCTATTCAAATATATGTGTGTGCACACATGCATGTTTGTATACCTTTTTCTCAGGGGAAATATAATGTTATTATCCATCAGAACGATCCACAAGAAATAATATTGTCTTCTCTACATTTCAATAATCTTACAGTAGTTTTTTTATTCTGTCTCAGTCCAGTTGTATAATGTTATAGCATCCCTTCTTTGTGCAATTTTCTTCCATTAAATGAAGATTGCTAGCACTTATTACCCTTCTTACATGAATGGCTCAGATTACATCACTTTATGGCGGTCCATTGGAGTTTCTTTTTATTGTTGAGAGTACAAAAGACCCTGCTTACAGCGCTGTGCAGAAACTACTTGCAGAATATCAGGTGTGTATAGACTTCTATATTGAACATACAAGTTGATAGATGCTGACAGTCTTCCTACTCTTCTCATTGTACTAAAATGAAGAAATATCAGAAGGAAAGGGAGTAAGACTCCAAATTGAAGAGTTGGGTTTAGGTGCTGCTCATATTTTACTTTGTACTGACAATATCTTATTTAATAGTCATTACATGTCTGTGCTTTGTGAAAAGTAGTTTATATTTGTCAACTGAAAATCGTTTCCTTAATGATTTGTTAACTGAAAATTGATTTATTCACACTTTCAGTACTCACTCTTTTTTTTTACTCCTTTAATTTGTTGCTTCTCTTTCCAATTCTGGATCATTTGCCACCTTTTTATTTGCTTCTTGTTTTGTTTGTGTGACCATATTGTTTTTTTATTTATTATTATTATATTAAATTAATGTTTGTAAAACAATCTGACCCAAGTAATTAGAAAATTTTTGGGAGTTAAGATTAAAATGAGAATGGTAGAAAACTAAGAGAAGGTAATTTATTCTATGCACATACAACCAAAGGCTGTTTGATGCAGGACTTTTTAATTTTTGCTTATTTGATACCAATCATTAATTGCATAGTAACCCTGTAGAGGGAACAAATGTACAGTTACAACTCCAAAGATTGAACTTATTTACCAAACATCAATTCAATTGCTGTAATCATGTCTTGCATTATTCTTAGCGTCAAGAGTTTGCTAGGATCCACTACATTCACACGCTGCACTTAGTTCTCAGCTGGGTCTTTGCTTAACCAGTTCATGTAATTTTCTTGTTTACGCTGTATACAGGATGAGGTTGATGCAAAGATAGTTGTAGCTGGTCTGTCAGAAACTTGTAGCCAGAAGATTCACAATCAATTGGTATGTAAGAAGTCTTAATTTTGTAGGTATGCATGTTCTTTTCCGTCTAGATTTTTGAAGTATACATAATACATGGTTCATTTGGCAGTTTGGAGTGGAGAAGATGCATAAAGACACGAAGTATGTACTGTTCCTTGATGATGATGTAAGGTTGCATCCTGGTTCAATTGGTGCACTTACTGTTGAGATGGAAAAGAATCCTGAGGTAAAAACATACTCCATATGATGGTACTGTTTCTTTGGCTATTTTCTTATAATTAATTATTCTTTCACAATATCGTGCAGATCTTTATTCAAACAGGATATCCTCTTGATTTACCTTCTGGAAGTCTGGGAAGCTACTGCATTTATGAGTATCACATGGTTGGTGTCAGTTTATCATTGTATTTTCTTAATATGTTGATTGGTTCTTGCTTTCATCTTTTCTCTAGTTTATCTATGAGCAACAGTAATATGAACTTCTAGAAATGGAAAGTGGAAAACAAACTTTTTTTTAAAAAACACTAAACATGCCCCTACCTCATCTGGAGAAACATCTTCTTTGGATGAGGTTTTAGAGATTATATTAATCTTCTTTTTGTACTGGTTTAAAAACAGTCAGCAAAACTACTATGTGAATGCACTCATGCACCTAAAAATGTTTTGTGAGACTATTTCCAGTAGGTTTACAGTATGCAAAGCCACAAAGGTCTTGAGCTTTCCATAGAACTGCAGTGCTGGATCCATGGACTCTTAGTGGCATTAACTTATTAAAAAAAAAATGCACCTTTTCTGTTATTTTTGGCTTCATATGTCCGTTTATGTGTAGTCTCTTCACTGTATTAATTTTCTTTTCAACTTGGTGGTGATCATTTTTCTGCAGCCGTGTTCAATGGGATTTGCTACTGGTGGAAAAACATTCTTCTTGTGGGGAGGATGTATGATGGTAATAGTTCCTACTGGCTTTAAAGAAAAACAATTAGAAGTTATTGTTTTTTTCTTAGTGTTAAACAAAAATTATATTTCCTTTGTTTTCTCTTAAGATGCATGCAGATGATTTTAGAATAGATCGCCATGGTGTTGTTTCACAGCTTCGAGATGGTGGCTACTCAGATGATATGACACTTGCAGCTATAGCTGGTATACTTTGTTGCTTATTTTTATCGCTGAATTTGTCAAATGATTCTGAAGTTGATACGTTTTGTTGGTAATCCCTTAGGTGCTAATAAGAGGCTCATAACTTCACCACCTGTTGCAGTCTTTCCTCATCCGCTTGCAACTGATCTTACCTTCCCAAGGCATGTAATTGTAGAATGTCCAAAAATCTTAATTCTCCATTACATATTTAGCCATAAGAGTTTTCAGCTCGGTCTTCTTTGGATATCTTTAGGTACTGGAATTATTTAAGGAAGCAAACATTTGTTTTGGAGTCGTACACAACAAAAGTCAATTGGTTTATGAACCGTGCATTATTTCTTACCCACTGCTATCTGTCGTGGGGATTTATAGCTCCATATTTCATGGCTGGGTTTCACGTTGCAGCATCGCTAAGGCAATACTTCAAGGGTTTTTCCCCTGAGGAATCAGTCTCCGCATTCACAGGTGAGCATCAGCATTTTCTTTCAAGATTGAGTATTCTATCGAATACTTGAAAAAAAGCTTCTATTGTATTCAGAACAAGATTTCTAACTTCTAAGTCTATATTTGTGACTGCACTTTTGTTTTAGTAACACTTTCTCTTTTAGCAGCCATCCTTTGTCATTTACTTTCCTTTGTTTTGGTTAAATAATTTTTGTCTCAGGTTTGCCACTGGCAGTCTGCCTTGCCATATGCACAATAATTGAACTTCTTTCCATGGGGAACTTGACAAGAATAGAGGTTAAGTTGTGCAATCTGCTTTCTCCGGAGGCACCTCCACTATCACTCTCTGCTTATAACTGGTGTCTCGTAAGTATTATTGAACTATTCCAACAAAGTAAAACTTCACCTTTCCTTTATCACCCCCACCCCCACTAACTATTGATATTTATTGGGATGCCTTCATAATATCATCAAAGAGTCTTGCCAATTTGAGGGTCAAACAGTGATGCTATGTTTGGATGGTCGAAATTTTAGTTTTGCTTGTTTGGGTATGAAAGAAAATAAGTAGAAAAAATGTGGGAGAGAACTCCCATCTTCCTATCCCTGTAAATACACCATCACCATTTCTGGCTCCTCACTATGCCTTTCCTCTAACCTTTTTTCTCATCCAAACATGAACTTCTGCATTTTCTTTTCTCGTTTGCTTTCTCTCCCATTTTCTTTCCTCTCACTTTCTACTCATCCAAGCATAGCACTAAGGTGTTTTTATACATACAGTTCAGGTTGAATGTAAACTAACCTTATCCAATGACTCATAATTCCATAGAAACAGCTTATGAAACTCGTTGAATTTGCCTGTGCTGATAGGGTTAGACACCACTTAATGACCAACTAATTCTTGATGTCTAATTGAACAGGTTTTTATGGCAATGCTGGTAGACAATTTCCTATACCCCATCTCTGCATTCCGTTCATATTTTTCAAAGTCCATCAATTGGTCTGGCATTCGATATCATTTGAGGAATGGGAAGATCAGCAAGGTATGCATCTTTTAGGACACCTTTCTGCTCACTTTAACATAATATTCTTCCATATCCTTTATCCTTTTGCCTTGAGCCGTTCTTGTTCTTGACCTCCCCAACAAGAACAAAGATAAATTATACAAAAATGAAAAAAAAAAATAAAAAAAAAAAATCTTGTTTGAATATGATGTTTCATTTCTGAATTGTTTTTGCAGCAGATTGAAAGGCACAAGGATATTGTTCCTAAATATACAGATTTAGGAGGAAAGAAGCTAAGATGGAGGGGAGGCCCACAAAGGGTTTCTATTATCAGTTCTCTGTGCAAAAGTCTGGTTTGCTGGCGTCAGCGGTCAGCCAAAGAAGTATGATATGTAGATATATATTAGAAACATTGAGTAAATATCCATTCTTTTTCTGCCTGGACCCTCTCTTACAATGGACTGAAAGAGAATATTCTTTTGAGATTATTACACCCCCCCATAACTAATGGGGGCTGCAGATGAATGAAGTGTTGGGATTTGTGGGCAAGTAGTTTTTAGTTTGTATGTAATTGATTCAAATTCAAACCTCCCATGTTTTTTGGGTTGGTTCTTGTAATTTAGGTTAGTTTTTTCTCCATCTATTTGTAACAGTGTTTTACTATTGATAGTTGTAAGAAATTGTGTGCAATTTTCTTTTTTACCTGTTCTTTATTTCTTCAGTTTTCCACTTTGAAAAAATAAAGAATTTCTTCCATTGCCACATATAGTGTACTAGTATTGAAATAGTGTTGTAAAAATCAGCCTAGGCACCCCTAGACCGAAGAGATTTCAACCTTAGGCGGTTTTTAGTCAGCTGGCCAACTAGACACCTTCAGTGCCCAACTTGACGCCTAACTCGACTGAGTCGGCGTTCAACTTGGCCAAGTGGGTTTTTTTTAAATTCTCTTTTAAATTCTCTTGCTTGTACATTGTCGCCTATCCCTCTAGCCAAGTACTCAGTTAACAGTCTAATATATAGGTACTCACTACTCAGTTAACAATCTAATATATGTAATTCAGGAGATTATAATTGTGTAACATCTGTCCATTGCAATAATTACTCAGGCACCCCGACACCTAGAGAACACATTGAATTGGAAACATGAAAGTATGGAATATATTTATCACAAAATTGAGAAACCTAAATTATGGTACAGCAGTCCCTAGAGAACACAAGCAAAATTTCATTCCAAAGAAACCCTTAATTTACTAAACCCAAAATCTGTGGGCTAAGTCAGAAACAATTTTCTAGCAATGTCATCCTATGCATTCAGAAAAAAGGTTCGGTAAACAAGAGCTATAACACCACTTGGTCACTAAACTTTATGGAACAATGCTTTCAAATATGACGTAGAGAGGCAAAAGGTTTCAGAGCAGTGGAGGGTAGATGATCAAATGAGCTAGTTCGGAAGTAAATGTGCGGCTGATATGTGCCCACTAGATGGAAATGCTTCGGCAGGAGGGAGGAGCAAATGAGCTCAAGAATAAAAGGCTAGTGCCTAATGGTGTTGCACAAACAAGTTCTGAGTTGATTACTTTTCCAGTTCTCCAATGCAGAAATCATCAATCATCTCAAATACTCGGGTAGCGTGTTGAGGCCTGGCACAAAAGTGAAAAACAGCTTTTAAAACAAAAGTGTGGTAACCCAAACAATTAATGCCTGTGGCTAATATTTCTAATCGGGGACAGAAATTGAAAACCTCAGAAGGAATTTCATAAATTGCACGTTATACATAGTTAAGAGAAATCACTTTCATGCATAAGCATATATAGTTTTATGGAAACAGAAATTCAATCTGCAGAAAAAAAAAAAAAAGGTTCAAAAGAGCAAAGGGAACTGCAATTAGTCTCTTATTAGTACTTTCCCTCGCAAGGTTCTATGCTAGTGGGGACTACTAACTAGGAAATTCTACCTAGGAGTGGTTATTGATGCAACCCTTCTGTACCCAGGTTAACTGAAAAACTAAAATCTGTCTTAATTGATCAATTACTCCATAAGATTAGTCTTAAAATTAGTGTTTTATATCCCGACCCTGCATCTTCATTTCTTAATCCCCTTCAATTTCGGCCTTCTTTATTTTCAGAGTGGTCGAGTAATCTACTACTGATGAATTGCAAAATATCTCCCAACTGTAATTGAATAGCAAAAGGTAATAAATGAGGAAGGACCAAAGAACACACACCCGTAGAAACCTTCAGTAGAATCATCACCAGCATGCGCCAGGATGGCATCACCACCAGGGTGCTCTTCTACGTATGAGGTAACATCAAAAACCTAGAATTTTGCAAGACATGAAATGTTTTAACCTAGGAAGAACAGAAAAAGAGAATACAGGACAGTAAAAATGAACTGAATATTCTTTCAAGTAACAAAAATAATAGTCCATGCAGTAAAAGGCAACCTTGTCTTTAATAATGATCCAACAGTCGGTTCTCTTGTTATGCAATGCAACTTCTGCTTTACTGTAAGCTTTTGGTGCAAACTGTTTAAAAAAGCAAGACCAAGAAAGGTGAGAAAAGGAACCAGACACACAAAACAAAACAAAAAAGAATTTGCAACACAGTTGGCAATAACTGTAACAATTTGTCGCATCCAAAATTTAGCTTGGAGCAGGTGGAATTCATTTCAAGATGTACAAGTTGGTGAAAGAAGAATGTTAATTATGAATATCCACCAGCAGGATAAGCCTCTTGCAAGTTGTAACGCTTATCATGATTTTTAACCCCGCAAAATACCTCATTCTACTTTTTTTTAGTGACGAGGGAAACCCGCAGGCCGCAACCATACCCAAATGTGTACACTAGATAAACCCCGCCTGCCTTGTGACCCTAGCCGTCAAAGGACCACAAGGAGGTAAATCAGCCTAAATTGTCATAGCTAACTGGCTCAAACCAAGAAAGCCAATACACTACTCCCTGGGAGTGGAACTTATAACCTTACGGTTACTAAGTCAATTGGTTAGGGTTGGTCCAACAAAAAATGCCTCATTCTTAATGACATTATTGCTTGCGCGAACATAAATGTGAGCTATCACTTCCAGTAAACCTAATTTAACCAAATGACCCAAAAGCACTCAAAAGCCATAAGCTAAGCTGCCCATATTAGGATGCTTAATATAGAGTTTTCATAACAGAAGCTTATACCAATTCGTAGGAAAACAAAATGGGTTCTCTGTATAGTTATAAAACTTGGTAAAACCATCGAAAATATAGTACCTTGGTTTGAGCATTCGCTTGGAGCTTTCGGGGTTGATCTACATACCAAGAACAGAAAATGCAGAAACAAAAAATACCAATTAAGTATCTATACAGATTCAAATCAAGCAAACTGACAGAAAAGAAAAAAAAATACAGCAAAATAAAATAAAAAAGTAAACAGATACTATGAAGAATACGGAGTACCAGATTTATTGCGCATCATAGGGATAACAATGAGCAGCCCAAGCAAGATTCCAAGTACCAACGTCGCAAACGCTACCTCCATAGCTTTAAGCTCCAAAGAGAATGGTGGTCTCAAGTATCGAGATAATCGCCCGAGGATCCAGAGAAATCAGACTAGAAGGACTCAAATTTCACGTCTGGGTCAGATTTTGAGCCAAAAATTCACACTTTTTACCTAAAAAAACAAATAAATATGCGAACCCACGGAGTTGAATTGGGTCACGGGAGGAATCTTTTACTCACTGCGGGAGTGGGAGTGTGGCTTTGAGGGACTGCCGAATGCCGAACGGTTATTTAATATCTGGATCAGTATAAATAGTTTTAACAAATAATAATAAATTAATTACCTGTATTATATTTATGTAAAAATATATTGTTTTATTTTCTTTGTCATATTTATTATTTACTCCGTATTATTTTATTAATTAAATTAATTCTTTCTTTTTTATTTATTTTAAATATTTTTTATTTCTAAATTTAATAGTATTTTATTTTTTTAAATACATAAATTTTATATACTAATTATTTTATGAGTGACAACTAAATTCTGTATGTTTCCATTCCCATGTTTGAAAAAAAAAAAAAAAAAGTGATTTGTTAAAAAATTTAATAACCCTACAAATTTTACAAGAATTGTGATTAGAATTGGAGGAAAGAAACATACTCCCATTAGGCAATCAAGGCTGCAAAAAGGCTACTTACTGATGAAGAACTTCATTGAGAGGTTGTGGGTAAGCTAAAAGCACGAATCTTTGCGAGTTTTCTGAGCTTCATAATTTCTCTCATCTTCTCAACCTCTTCCCAAAGACCATTACTGGCATAAATATTGGACAACACAACATACACTCCATCATTCCAAGGCTCCATCTCTTGCAAGTGCTTAGCAACCCATTCTCCCATCTTCACATTCCTGTGTTTTTCACAACCCCCCATCAGGCATCCCCACACCACCACATTTGGTTTCATTGGCATCCCCTCCACCATCTCCCTAGCCTCCTTGAACAATCCCGCCCGCCCCAACAAGTCCACCATGCACCCGTAGTGTTGAAGCTTGGGCGCGATTCTGTACTTGTTTTCCATCATGTTGAAGTAATGCTTCCCCTCCTCCACCTTCCCACCGTGCACGCAAGCGCTCAGCACCCCGACGAATGTCACGTGGTTGGGTTTCACACCGGCTTCCCTCATGTGGTGGAAGAACTCGAGTGCCTTCGTTGTGTGCCCGTGGAGGGCATAGCCAACAATCATGGATGTCCATGATGACACATTCCTTTCATCCATACTGGAAAAGACTCTGTGGGCAAGATCCATCCTCCCACATTTGCCATACATGTCAATGAGTGAATTCTTCATTATCAGAATGCCATATTTATCAGCTACCCTCACTTGAAACAGGCATTTATGCAATTGCAGACCCAACTTCAAGTCCCCTAAATTCCCACAAGCTGATGTGACACTGACCATGGTCACATCATCAGGATGCAATCCAGTTTTTCTCATCTCCAAAAACATCTCAAGTGCTTCCTGTGCCCTCCCGCCTTGTGCCAGCCCAGAAATCATGGCATTCCAAGAACCCAACGCTCTCTCACCACTTTCATCAAACACCTTGTGTGCATCTTCAAACTCACATGCTTTTGCATACAAACTAATAAATCCACTCTCACAATACACATGAGTGCTCAACCCGATCTTTAGAGCATGAGCGTGAATCTGCTTTGCTAGACCATAATTCGAAACTTGAGAAGTTGCCTTCAACATAATGGGCAGTGTATATTCATCTGCGGAAACGCCGGCTCTACTCATGGCTATGAAGACTTGTATGGCTTTCTTGGGAGAGTCCAGTCGTGTGTATGATCGCATGATGCTGTTCCAATAAAATGGTGCCGGATAGAAATCTAGGAAACGGGTTTGGATTATCTTGGAGTGAATTTGGATGAGGTGTTGAAGGGTGGTGCAGGTGGAGACCTGGGTTGCCACGGCGGCTCCGTAGTCGTGGTGGCATAGCGTTGCGGCGGTGGAGGTTTGGGTGGTTTTAATGGCGGAGAGTGAGTTAGTGAGACGAGAAGAGAGTGTCAAGTACTTGAATTGGGCGGTGAACTGAACAAAGTTCATGTCTTTGGAGAATAGCTTTGCAGTGATTTTTAGTTCAGTCTGGTTATATAGGAAAATACAAGAAATGAGCAAACTAAAATTATATTATTATATAATAATTAAGTTACAAAGCAGTACATTGTAATAACATTCTCACGGGGATCTAAGTTGGCAGTACACTTGATGCGGCGCAGCGCAAGTGCCCGCACGTTATTCACGAAAAGCTAAACGGCAAGGTAAAGAGCACAACAAGATGAAAACCATGGAGGAGCTATGAAGAACAAGTAAGCTCCAAATACAAACAGGACAGCTACTCAGAATTACAACCACAAACTTACAGATTCGCCACTAATTTCTCACTCAGCATTACCCCCCGATCACCGGTAGTTTCTGTAGATGGGAGTGTACATGCAGCTTTCAGCATACTTCACCAAATCTGCAGGTCGAGGGAGACGGGTCGCAACACCTACAAGTCATAATATTTCCATGCACTTTGTCAATATAACATTCCAACTCGATTTCAGATGATGAAGAAAAACTAGGGGAATTTTATTTTTAGTTTTAGAATGCACCCACCAAGTTCATATGCTTTAGCTGCAACACTAGCTGCTATATGAGCTGAGATCTTTCTGATGTCTGTGAAAGGAGGATAGATCATCCCTTGTGCATAGTGTTCGTCGGTTACTTGATTAGCCAAAGCCTCCGCTGTTAAGATTAACGATACCGAATGTTAGGCACAGCCTTGGGAGATCATCTCTAGAGTCTATAATGCACATTTCATACAGCAAAAAATGTAACGATGTTATAAATTGGGACTTCCAAATTTTGAATGAACACATAATAAAATGTGAAATGAAATTTAGCTTAGATTCCCATAGCTCAGCAATATGCATATAATAAGATGTGAAATAAATTTCAGCTTAAGAGCTCCATTGCTCTATACTTACAAGCTGCAAGAAGCATATCATCATGTACACGGATGGTACCAGACATGACAAGACCAAAGCCAAACCCGGGGAAAATATAGCAGTTGTTTGCCTGTATGGAGAGTATGGGAAAAGAGATCAATAAACTCATTGAGCTAAAAGGTGATTCATGAGAAAGTATATCACATAACAATGCATAACCTGGCCAGGTATGTTGAGTTTGCCATTACATTCTACAGAAGGAAACGGGCTTCCACTTGCAAAGACTGCCCGACCCTGTTCCAGGTCGAGAATGTGGAAAAAAATGTCAGATTGGTTATAGTAGCATGACTAAAAGAATCAAGCATCATTTTGAGATTGAAGTTGTTTCAACTAGAAATATAGTATCACCTCACTCCATTTGTAAGCCTCTTCAGCAGTACATTCAGATTGTGATGTTGGGTTGGAGAGAGCCAGTATAAGAGGTCTCTGAAAAATGATTCATTTATAGAACCTTGGTTCAGATTGGTGGAAGAAGGAAAAGACAATAGGTATAGGGCAATATTGTAGAGAAGAGTACCTTGTTATTGGCAGCCATGGTCTCAATTACTTCTTTTGTAAATGTTCTTCCAACTCCGGATGTTCCAATCAACACTGTTGGCTTGATGGCCTAAGTTTGGAAGTGAAACAAAGATCATGAAACCTAATTGAATTTCCTGAAGGCAGTAATTCTACATATAAAAAATTTAACAAACCTTGACAGCATCAAGGAGATTGTTAACAGGTTCATGTTCATGGGCCCAAGGTTTCTTGAAGGCTTGAAGAGAACCCTTTCGAGAACTAACAATTAATCCCTGCATAGATTTCATAAAGTCACACTATTTGGTACTTGTTTGAGAGAATAAACAAACAAACCCACTAATACAGAAAACAGAGTTTAATGATACGGAGGAAGAAACTTAATATGCAAATAGTTCTCTACCTTTGAGTCCACAAGCCAGATCTTTTTGCGAGTCTCCTCAACAGGGGCCTTTGTCTGAGGATGAAAATAGAAAAATCAGTATACACAAGTTACCAGCCAACATAGAAAATGTTGTCATGTTGTGTTTCAGACCCAATGAAAATCTGTTATAACAATACCTTGTTTGAAATCTCAAGAGCTATCAGTTCTGCAATACCAGTGCCAGCCTGCAAGCACAATTACATATATTTGACTATCAGATCTTACCATGATGTTCACATGTGAAAGTTATAAACAAAAGAAATGGGATGTATGTATAGTTTTTTATTTTATATTTCTGGCCCTTTTTTCAGAAAAACCACACCAAGTTTTTTATGCAAAAGGACAGGTAACACATTCCCATTACCTTATGCAAAAAGTTATTATCTTTTAGATTAAATGTTGCAATGTTGGCCACCTTGTGTCATAAAGTCAATAATTTTTCTCTCAGGTTACTAGCGGAAATTATTATTACCTCTCCAGCACCAAGGAACAAGAATGTGTGGTCAGCTAAGGTGCCCCCAAGTAGCTTAAGTGAGGCAAGAAGCCCTGCAAGCACTACTGAAGCTGTCCCCTGCAAGGTAGAGGTCCAAATATAAAATTGATGAAAGAGCTTCTCTTAACAAAAGCTACAACAGGTATTGATTAATATATACCTGTATATCATCATTGAAGACCAAGTGAGTGGTGCCATATTTGGCCAGCAGCTCAAATGCATTGTGGTTTGCAAAATCTTCAAACTGTAAATGGCAATAAATGACACCAAAATTAACAAAAGGAAGGAAGGGGATGCTACATAGAAATTGGAACTTGTTTCAGAGGTGAATCAAATTACTGACCTGGACAAGAACTTTTTCACCATAGTTTTGCTTTACAGCAGTCATGAACTCATCCAGGAAGTCGTAATATTCCTATAATGTTAGTCAATATTAAATCATTGTGCTACAGTTTAATATATTGCAGCAATTGGGGTCCGGCAAGTCCTCAAGGACTGAAATTCACCTGTCCAGTTGTTCTCTTTTGTCTAAGCCCAATATAGTAGTCATCCTTCAGTAACTTCTCATTGTTCGTCCCAACATCAATTGTTATAGGCAAACACTGCACATGCAAGCAATACTTCGGGTCAGAATTTCAGTGACCATGTGACACAATGGTGAAAACAAATCATATCAAGTTTTGGTACCGCTGAGGGTCTGACACCACCAAGTGCTGTATAAAGAGCCAACTTCCCCACAGGAATTCCCATCCCCTGTAACAAAGGAAACAGAT